CATGTGAATAAAGTAACCGCATGACTGTCCTTTGTGGGGTGTCCTGTCCGGGGTGGAAGTCAGCTGCCTTGAGGAAGATGCACACGTTGACAAGGTATTCACATCCGTGGTGAATGACAGCTGGTAGCTTTTGGTCCCGGCTTTCTCTCAGTACCTGCTCCAGGTCCCCTGGCAGCCTCTCGGCATTTCTACTTTTGGGGACTTTCTCCTCATATCAAACATTAAAATCCACCCCACAATCAATTTTTTTGGCTAACATTTTTGCATGTTTCCTTTTATTATCATGAATTCTGTACCGAATAAAGTATCTAGTAACATAAAGGTGAGTCAGCATTGAGTCGTGGTTTTGTAAACATTTGGTTCTATATTCATTCATTTTGATTTCGGAGTTTTCATTTTTGAGCCAGCACCTCTTCTTTGCTCAGGTCTCGGAGCATTTTAAAAGCTGAGATTTCTCTCCCAAGAGAGCGAGGCCTCTGCAGCCTTCCAGCTCGGGGTGGGGGGAGGTGGGAGTAACTGATATACTTGTTTAAAGTGACACTTAAACTGCTTCAGACCAGGGCTTTATGAAAGTCCAGGGCAAGGGCAAGTGGCTGACTAGGTCAGTAGGCCTCCTGCCAGATTTAAAAAACAACAACACTATATTAACATTTATTTTTATTTGAAAAAAATAGTCGGGCCAGGCTCTAGTTCCCAAGGCTACTGGGAGGCCACGACTCTGGGGCTGCTGCACTCTCTGGGGAGTCTGATGGGAAGACTGCGAAGTCCTGAGCTACGTCAGTCACCCTGGACCGGAGCCGCAGAGAAAGTCAGGAGAAAGGGCAGCAGTCATAATGGGGAGGCGGGGCGGGAGGGCAGGAGCTTCCTCAAGTGGAGCTGACAGCCGCGGGGTTCCAGCTACGACAGCAGCTGGGTTACCACATCCAAAACCAAATGCGGCGAATTGGGGGCCACTTCCAGATGGGGACACGTTGCTCTGCAAGCATTCACGTTTTCTGGTAGCTGGGCACCCATGGCTCTCTGGTGTGCTCCCCTGCCCTTCCCAGAGCAACCCGGGAGAGGGGGGAGGGGAAAGGGGAGCATCATAGCATCCTTCCCACTGCTGCTGTGTCTCCCACCTGCACTGGTTTGGGGAGACGGTGTCCCCTCCCGCTCTACACAGCCCACACACGGGGGGGTTGTGGGAGGACGGAGCCCGGCCATCTCATCTGTCCCCTGGGTTCCAATCAAGACCCTGGAATTCATTCCCCGTGTCTGCAATTATGAGGGAATTTTTTCATAAACAAAACCACTTCCTAGACCCACGTGAGTCGACGTGATAGATGCCTTTCTCAATAACCGCCATTGTCACTTGGTGCCTGCTTAAACCCTTGCTTCAGTTCCAGACTAGATGAGACTTCCTAGTTAGTATGTTCATTTCCGGGGTAACCCTACTATTGTTCCTAGGATGTTTCTAAGTCTTCAGTCGTGACAGCCGTCTCCACCTACAGAACTCCTACAAGGGCCATCTCAAATGCGCCACCCGCAGCGTGAACATCTTATCGACTCTCCCAAATAAAGAATAAACAGCACAAAAGCAAAGCACGAGGCCTATTTCGGGTGACAGCGATGACAGTGGCAAAGTCCCGCCCCTGCTGACATGAGGCGAGCAGAACGCAGACATGACTAAGCACCGTGAAGTTCAGCAAGAGCTCACCAGGAGGGGGATGGTAGAAAAGGACACAGGCAGTGTCACCAAGGCCTGGTCCTGCCTCTCACCAGCAACATGACCTTGAGGATCGGGCCGGGTGCCATTGCCATACACACAGCATCTCATGCGAGCCCACACCACCCTACGAGAGACCTATTCTTATTCCCAATTTGCAGACGAGAACAGGGCATGGCCTTCAAAAAGGTGGCCTCGGTTTACCTGTTGTGGGAAATGGGGATGCTGACAGCTGTCTCGCTGCATCGTAGGAATTAAGTGTGGTAACATCCAACCACAGAGTAGGCCCCCAAGCACGGTTGCTCTCTTTAATTATTATTGTGAGTGTTTATGAAGACTGGAGACCAGGTGGAGGACAGGTTTTACCCAGTTGTAGTGGGTAACCAGAAGCAGCCGGCTTTGCAAGCCGGAGCAAACCCCCGGAGCATCCCCTAAGCAAGGGCACGACGTGTGCGTCATGCGGCTGCATTAGACACGGCCACTGTCATGCCTTGGCACGTCTGTGAAGTGCAGGATCACCCAGGCAACCTGGTTGCTGCTGTAGCTTGTCTGCGGTCTCTCCATGTGCAAACTAAGCAGGAACCAAGTGATCGAGGCTTTAGAGCAGCGGTTCTCAACCTTCCTAATGCCGCGACCCTTTAATACAGTTCCTCATGTTGTAGTGACCCCCAACCATAAAATTATTTTCGTTGCTACTTCATAACTGTAATTTTGCTACTGTTATGAATCGTCATGTAAATATCTGATATGCAGGATGTATTTTCATTGTTACAAATTGAACATAATTAAAGCATAGTGATTAATCACAAAAACAATATGTAATTATATATGTGTTTTCCGATGGTCTTAGGCGACCCCTGTGAAAGGGTCATTTGACCCCCAAAGGGGTCGCGACCCACAGGTTGAGAACCGCTGCTTTAGAGAGTAGCGCTGTTTTCCATCCTTTGAATGTTCAGGCAGGTCTGGCCTTGGGACACAGGAGGGGGCGTCTCCCGGCATGGGGGAGGGGGGCAGTGCTGGGAAGCCTGGAGCTGTGCACCTCAGCTGCTCCTGCTAAGTGGGGGCCTGGATCATCTTCTGGGGACGTGGGGAGCTGAGAGCATGTGGAGGGGGACAACCCGTGCCCCAGTCCTTCTGGGGTCTACAAGTAAGCCTGGAAGGGGGGGGCAGCTGCGACTCAGGGGGCTCAGGGAGGATGGGGCCCCATGCTCCAGGTCACGGGAACTCATAAGGTGGGTCCGAAAGCACTCTCATACAGAAAATGTAAAAAGCATCATGGAATTTCCCTGGGGCTGGGCTTTCGGATGAACTCTGTGCACCTGTCCGTTTCAATATTCTTTCCCTTGACGTTCACCTCAGAAAGAACATTCCCCAGAGTTGTTCTTGGCATGATGGTGATGAGTTTGGAAAAATCCTCCTTCGTAATGTTTTACTTCTCCTGTGACCAAGAAGGACCCAGGTTCAGTGGGGCCTGGCGCTTAGACAATTTGGGGGACCATTTTTAAGAAAAAAGAGAACAAAACTATGAATACAAAATTAGGCAGGAGCGTGACTATTTATGCAGAATGAGAAAAGATGTCAACAAATCACTAGGGCCCTGAAGACTCAGGGCCCTTACTTCTGTGATTTCACACTTACACGCACTGTGTCCTGATCGGGACTGCCCACCCCGCTCACCCCTCCCTCTTCAGCTAGCGCCCCTCCCCTCCCTACAGCTCTCTGCCCCGCAGGGAAGGGACAGATCCAGGCTGAAGCTTTGTCCGTTTCGTGGTCAATATGCCTGTGATTCGTGCAATTCACAACCCAGAAATGTCTACTGGATGCCCAGTCTGTCCCTGTAGGCCCATTAGTTTAGCTTTCTCTGATGGACCGCCTTAGCCAGCGCCTACACCTACGTATGAGAGCATCAGAACAACAGCATGAGCTCGCTACAGAAATATGTGGGGCGACCAACTCTCCGCTTCAGCAGACGGGCTGGCTCACCACCAAAACCCTGCGGCTCATCCAACAGGCCACAGGGTGCTGACGATGTCCCCCACCCCCACCCCCATCCGTCCCAGGGCCCCAAGGGCATGTCGCCCATATCATCCCTTTCTGCCCATCTGCTTCCTCATCCACCTCGACCTCTGAGCCCTGGAGGCCGAGGGAAGTCCAAGGGCAGCTGTGAGGCAGTGTGAGCGAGCCTGAGCTGCAGCCACCTGGCGGGCCCCGAAGTGCGTTCCCTAATTGCTCCTCGTTTCATTTCCCTTCCCGAGACAGAAGCAAATGCACCCTCTGGAGTCTGTCTTTCAGCCCTAAAGGAGTATCTGCTTCGTCAGCTCACGGACCAAAGCTCGATTTTTAGGGGTAGGTGGTGGGTGGCAAGGCTGCTGTATCAGTAAATCGGAGTCACCTCTGGTGATGAGTCTGCAAATCCAGAGAGAGAGGAGGGTGGGAGGGACGGGTCCCTTGTCCTGAGTTCTGGCTCTGCCACTTACAGCTGTGTGACCCAGGGCAAGCTACCTAACCACTATGCTCCACTCATCGCAAAGGCAGGTATAATAACTGTGTCTGCCTTGTGGGCTTTGGGTGAGGATCAAGCGAATTTCATAGTTGTATATCTGAGTTGTCACTATGATTTCTGGGATTCCATTTATATATGGCCCTTCTTAGCCAGACCGGTTGGGCACAGGCATATTAACCATGAAACTGATAAAGCTATGCCTCCTGTGGGTGGGGAAGGAGGACTGTGAAGAATTATTTGCAACTACTGTTTAATTTCCTAGCTACCTGAGTCTGCTTAGGAGGGTGAAAGCAAGCGTGCTCTCCTGTATTCCTTGGGACCGCCCGTGGGAGGCTGAGTAATGGCCTCAGAGAGCCACATCCTAATCCTGGAACCCATGACTGTTGCCTTATATGAGCAAAGGAATTGCAGAAGCGATTAGGTTAGGGATCAGAGCTGGCGCCATGGTCCTGGGTGATCCGGGTGGGCCCTGAATGTAGTCACACCTGTCAGCCCCATTTCACAGATGGGCAGACTGACAGCGTTGGGAAACTGTCCTGAGCTGGCTCCAGGTCCCCTGCTGGCGAGTGGCAGCCACAGAGCAGTGATTTGAATCTGGCCAATTGGCTTCTGAGGCCAAGCTCTTCATTACCTGGTCCATGTGCCACACTCTGGCTCCTCACCCTGCAGCCCCGCGCTGAGGCTCCACCCCCCACCCCCACCCCCACCCCAGGGAGGGACCTGTAAGCCCATAAATGCAACCAGGAGGCTCCATGCAGGTAGGGAGACATCTCCATAGACATCTGAGTTTGGATGACCTAACACAGTGGTTGGCAAACTGGCCCCTTGAGTGTGGCTCTTCCACAAAATACCACGTGAGGGCACGCACGCACAGTGTGATTGAAACTTCGTGGCCCATGCCACAGGGCCAAAGAGCCACATGTGGCTCGCGAGCCGCGGTTTGCCGACCACTGACCTAACAGAACGAGCCACATGCCT